ACTTTTGATTGATTTTTTTAACAAAAATCAAGAATTAATAAAAATTAAATTTTGTATGTTGCGTGTATTGAAATATAAAAGGGTTACATTTGTTTCTTTTTTTTTTCTAAATCAGCATTAGCTTTTTGAACAATCAAATATATTACTTTTGATTGATTTTTTTAACAATACAATTATATTTGAGAGACTCATAAGGTAGAATAATTAAAGATTTAGCTTTTACCATTAGATAAGTTGCTATTAAATGAAACAATTTATCGTATTTCAAGGAATCGTGAAATGTTGATACGTGTATTCCATTAAAAGTCTAATAGTCGAGAATAGAAGAGAAAGGTAACTACTTTCATGGAAATATCGATAAGGACTAGGTCTAATCATATTTTATATTATGAAAATCGCATCGGTCAGACTTCCTGGTGAACGTCGTCTTCATTTATGCAAGAATCGTGAGCTCGCATTCGTAATCACCGGTTCACAATATGACACCAGGAATTATGCAAAATGCTTGCTTGATGCGTACGTACGACGGATTATTTTCTCGGAAGATCATAAATTTTTGCTGACTTTGTCGTTTTCATTATAGATACATACAGGCAAGCGTTGGTAAATTCGCACGAAAAGAAATTTTCTTACACGATTGTTTATTATTTTTCTTTTTTCTTATTTGGATTGTTTATTCGCGAGAAGAATAAAAAAAAACAAAAATTCTTTTATCTAAGAAAATTTCGAACCGTCATATAGCATCACAAATGATCCGTACACATTTCGAACTTCTGTACCATTAAATTTATTTCCCGATACGCTCAAATGGCTACAAGAGAATATTGGTTGTGTTGTAAAATGTGGTTGGTAAATCAGAAACGATCATTTCACAGGTAAAGAAATATAATGGTGGTGAGATCGTGTATGATGTTCACGGAACATTCCTCCGAGAATGATAACCAATCATCATTATCATCGCAAATTCAACGAAATTTCTCTTTGGAAATATTATTTCTTTTTTTTTTAAAACGGTACATATATGAAAATATTATACTTGGTTAAATATTTTACTAAATGTGACACGATTAATATATTATATTACGAGATACATTAAAACAATCTCCTGTAGTTTTTATAATCTCAACGTGATATTTTTAATTAAAAGTTTTATATTCCATTTATCGTGTCATATCGTGTGATTAATAATTTAGATATAAATATAGTGAAAAAGAAAAAAAAAAGAAAGAAAGAAAAAAAGGGGGAATAAGGAATTTCAATAAATTAATTAAAGATCAGAATTCTGTGTTCGGCAAAATGGCGTCGTCCGGAGCCGATATTTCGAAAACACGAATAAACGAACGAAGCAATGACACCGTAGCTCGTGCGTAGCATATTCTCTTGAGTCTCGAAAAGTACGTGACCTAGAATGCAAGGCGCTATCGCTGGCTGTTGCTGCTGCTGTTGCTACAGCCGAGTTACGGAGACTGTTACCATCACATTGATGTATAAACGTGTATAACTCATGTAGAATTCATACGTGGTAACCTATGTTAGAAATAAAATAATAGCAACGGTAATATACACATAGATTAGGATGATTAACAAGTAACGTTGAAGAAAATTTGTAATATTTTATATATTAATAAATAATTATTATATATATATATATATATAATTAATGTAACATTAAATGCATATAAACCATGAATTATTATTAAATAAAACATTGGTAAAATTTCTCTCTATATATTTCTATTTTTAAATGAATTTCAGATACAATAATTAGTGTGCTATTTATTTCAATAAAGAACAAATTAATATTAATTTTATTATAATATTGTTTGCTTATAAAATATAAAATATTACAAATTTTGATATTACTTATTGACCCTATTTTACATCGTACGCGTATAGAATTTTTTCTTTTTTTTTTTTTTGAGGACACGCACGTGTCGAGTCAGTCCCGATGATTTTTCATTAGCAAAATTAAGTATACTGTTAAACAGGAAAATCTTAATCTCTGGTTAAATACCACTTTCGAAGCATCTTTCACGACGTATACGAAACCACTTTACCCGTTCTGTGAATTGACTGCTTTCACGCTTTTCAGTCGCGTTTTCAAATATGTTGAAACGAGTCAGGTTGTTTCTGTTGTCGTTGTTGTTGTCTCTTTGTTGTCCTGCTAACTTTATAAAGCCGATTAAATCGGCAGTAAGTCGTTATTTCGCTAGTTAAAAAGAACGGGATTAGTCGTCCGCTTTTATTATTCTTTATAATTCATATAATTCTCTCAACTGTTCTATAGTATATATTAGTACTTATTATTAATTAAATAATATTACACATTGAATAAAAACGAAGAAATTTCTAATTTTGATTTCGAAAGAAAAGTCATTAAGATTGTCTTCTTATTTTATTTATTCATATTTACGCGAGAATATGTTCTCAGAATTATCATCATTATAAGTACGCTTAACGAAAGTAGCTATGATTATTATTGATGGTTATTTATGAAAAAAAGAAAAACATTTGTTCCAATTACCGACACAGCAGATAAATATCCATGTACAATTTTTATGCACGCAGTCAGGCAGTACTTCACTTTTCACTTTCTATTTGATCGGATTTATCTTTAAATTATAAAGTAATCAAGTCAAAACAATTTTATTCCCTTTTGTCATAATACAAAATTCTAATAATTTGTATGTAAAATAATTTACATTACAATATAATAAATTAACGAAAAAATAATTCAATTAATATTATCTTCTTAAATTTATTTTATTTTATTTTAATTAGCACGAAAGTGTTTAACCCTTCTTTGCATGATGATAGAAATTTCAATCATAATATTTAGTCAACAAAAAAAGCTACTCAAAACCCTTGTACTGTATATTTGTTGTTGCTGGCAACTTTTAAAGCGACCATTGCGTACAACAAAACGCAGTTGTCAAAAAATAGCACTAGGATTTTTTTAAAATATTTTTCCTTTAATCTAGAGCATTAATTACATCACCCTGATTTATTTTAAAAGAAAAGAAAAAATCATGCAAAGAAGGGTTAAGAAAATTGTTTTACCTTACAATCCGTATTTTTATTTGTTTCCTTTTCGATGAATTTCAAATGAGGAAAACATTCCGTCACGGTGTGATTCGCGACGATCGGTTTCTTCTAAGAAAGTAACCTTAATTCTTTTTTTTATGTTTTTTTTTTTTTTCTACTACTTCCAATCTATTTCGTTAATCGTAAGGACTCGGCTGAGACGTGAGAGTCACACGACAATTCCATTTGCGGTTATAAGAAGAGGTGCTCATTCGTCGTTCTATGGCTTATACAGTTAGCCATGGGGAGTCAACGATCTTGGCATGGCGCCTCCTTTGGACGAAACTAGATTCGAAGAAGGTCGCGAATAACGTTTAGAACGTCGCCTTGAATTTTAAATGTTTCCCCTTTCCCCATCACAACGAACGGTATTGCATGTTTTTCTCGTTGATAAGAAATTAATATATATATGTGCAACGAGAACCAAAAAAATTAACCCTTCTTTGCATGATGATGGAAATTTCAATCATAATATTTAGTCAACAAAAAAAGCTACTCAAAACCCTTGTACTGTATATTTGTTGTTGCTGGCAACTTTTTAAGCGACTATTGCGTACAACAAAACGCAGTTGTCAAAAAATAGCACTAGGATTTTTTTCAATATTTTTCCTTTAATCTAGAGCATTAATTACATCACCCTGATTTATTTTAAAAAAAAGAAAAAATCATGCAAAGAAGGGTTAACGAATCGCAAATTGATGATAGAAAAAAAGAACCAAAAAAAACCGGATTTTCTTATTAAAAATTAAATACTTGGATCGTAATACAAGTTTCCAGGTTACTGAAACGTTTGAAAAAAATGGCAAACTATTTCTTTTTACGTTAATACAACAACTTTTTGTTATTTTAATTTTATTTATAGTTGCGGCAATTAATTTTATCTCGTACACATTAAATGCTTATGTAGAACGTAAAGAATTTCAAATCAGGATAAGAAGTTGACTAAGGTAAGCACGAAGAATCATAGTATTGGCTCTCGAAGGTTTTCCTCGTGCCGAGGAATTCCAGAGTCAGGAATAATGTGAAAGTTGACCTCACATTTTCACGAATATAATGCCGTGTTGGTCGTCGTAGCGTAATCTTGTCTCGCGTGCATATATATGCATATGTTTGCGGAATCGTTTCTATATAACCTACTGGTTGGTTAACTTGTTTTCATATATCAAATCATTTAATTTTCAATCATTTTCGATTAATATTTTCTACACCGTTTAATAAAAAAAAGTAGATTAACGGTTGTGCAACTAATACGTTCGTTCATTTGACGATATATCTCGATATTTACGATTGAATTATTCGTCGTACCGTAACGAGAAAAGAAAATATATATTTTTAATGATAAAATTTTACAGGGAACTTGGACATGAAAAGAAGTAGAACTTAATTTGATTGAGTTGGACGTTTCGTCCCTTTATTGGGACTTCTTCAGCAACTTAATCTTTAAAGTTCAGCGTCTTT